GGGGGGGGGAAGCAGAGGAGCTGGCGGGCGTGTTTGTTTACTGGCGGTGCAGACGTTTAAACGTTCCTGTTTGCTGGCAGCGGACGGCGGGAGTTTAGTGAGTCATTACTGCTCCCTTCCGACGGAGCCCGAGCATTCGGGGCGGACCAGCTGCCAGCTCGCGCCGGCGCGGTTCCCGGAGGCAGGCGCGGTGGATTAGCACGAGAGGGGGGGTGGGGTGGGGATGGGGGGGAGGCACTGAGCGATCTGGATTCGCGCTTAGTTCCACCTTGAAGGAGGAAGGCTGTAGCTGGAAGCGGAAGGGAGATCAGGTGCTTCCCGGTGGTGTGTCTGTGTCCAGGGGGTGCTTAAAATGGGGGGGGGGGTGCAGAAGCTGACACTGTTCCAGAATTCAGTATGAAACAGTATCATCGGAGGCGCCGCACGTCAGCTTAATGCTCGTCAAGGTGACGGCGACTTTCGCACTGGTGAAGTAGAGCATGCCAGAGAACGGCCCGTATCTTTAAAAGATGAAGGGGGATCTTTTGTGTACAGGGTGGCAGGACAAACTACCAGGGAGGGGCAGATGGGACGTGGGCATGGGGCATGGTGGCCGGACGGCCATGGCTGGGACCTCTGAGGGGACCATGTGTTCAGGCCTTTTCCTGCCCCTGTCACTCATCTTCCTAACGCACACCTCAGCTCCCCCACCCCGCCCCCATATCCCTAACTGTCCAGTCGTGTGCAGGGCTGGGGGGGGGGAGGTCTGACAGGATGTGACACGGGCACCTAACGTAAGCTGACGCTGCTCTGTTCTCACCCACAGAAGATGATCGTGAGCCTGACAGTGGCTGCCTTCTTTGACAGCGTGGCCTACGTCATGGTGAGTCATGCTGCCGTGGCGTTGCCGTGGCCACAGTGTCCGCGGCGACCGGCTAACCCCCCACCCTCCCTTACGCCGTGCAGGGTGAAGACCACCCCGAGGGAGCCCTGTGCACCTTCCAGGCCTGGTGGCTTACCTACTTCGGTGAGTTGCAGCAATTAAATTGCAGAGTGTAATTAGAACATAATTAAGCGTGTAATGTGCTGAGGAGCATGGTGCCTTCAGTGCTGCTTAATGGGGGGGGGGGCATATTTCCGCTGTTAGGACACTGCCCCCCCCCCCCACTATAATAAACAGTGTGCGGGGTGGGAGTTCATCCTGAGGTCAGCATCTTTACATCCGAAGATAGGAGATGTCAGCCGTGGATCTTGGCCCTGGGGGTGTGTATGTGTGGGGGGGGGGGTAGGTTCAGCGTGGCAGGTGGGGGCCCGCGGAGCTGCTGGCAGTGTGGTACTTTCCCTGCTGAGGTCGATGTCACAGGACCTGCTGTATCGAGAGCAAGACGTCCAGAATTAGAAGCTGTTGTTTGTGTATATGAAGCATAAAACTGCCTCAGAGGTAGGGTGTGGGGTGGGGGGGCTGGGGCGGGGTCTGAGAGACTGTGCAGACCAGGACATTGTTACTCAGTCAGTTTGGGTGGACGTGTCCCCCATATAAGGTGGTGGGAGATGGGGGGGAGCAGCATTGGGGGGGGGGCTGTCAGTAAGGCTCGGTAAGCATCCTTAAGGGGGTGTTTTAGCGACAGTGTCCGGTTTCGGCCTGTCCCTCCCTGTGATGGCAGCCCAGGGCCGCCGATTCGGGGACAGAGCCAATGCTGTGCCACATTCGGGATCAATGGTCCCAGTTTTGCGCGGGTGTTTCACCTCCTCCTGCCGGAGCTAAGGGAGGCTGCGTACTCGCCTCCTCCTGCCGGCTGTCTGCAGGTTTCCTGAATCATTCAAACCGAAGATGGATTGCCTGTTGCTCCTTTCCCCACCCCCCACGTGGTCCCTCCCCTGGCTCCCTGACGTGGGCTGCTACGTGACTTTCTGGGAAAAGCACATTTAGACACGTTAGAATTAAAACCAGCCACGTCAGGCAGAGAGAAGGGCCTGGAATGTGCCCCCCAGCCCTGGGGTAGCAGAGGCTTCCATTCAGCCATGTTATACTCAATGTTTATGTCTGAGAGGTTTTGGCAGAATCATGTACTGGTTCACAGAAACACACACACACACACACACATACACACACACGGAAACACACGCGCACACACGCACAAGCATTGTCACAACAGACTGTACCCATATCTTTATGGGGACCGTCCATTAATTTCTATGGGCATAACCCTAATCCCAACATGACAACCTTAACCCCCACCCAGCCCTAACCTTAACCATACGGAACCAAACGAAATTTTGGCTTATTTAGTTTTTTGATTGCAGTCACAGATTTTTATAAAATTAAGTTTCCCTTTGTGGAGAATTATAAAATTGTCCCCAGAATGTCAAAATAACAGGCTTTTATCACATTTAGTCCCCACAATGTAATATATATGTAACCCACCTGCACACACACACACATGTGTGTATGCAGTCGATGGGACCAAGCTGGCACAGTGAGCATGAAATCAGTGCTGCCCCCAGGGTCACTGTGTCAAATTTTCTTCCTTAATTCCCCCCCCCCCCCCCCCCAACCTGCCCCCCCAGCTGGATATCGATGCCGGGCCACAGAGCCACAAGTATAATTTCCGCTATTCAGCTCTTTCTCTCTGAGGCGGAGAAACACACAAACACACAAAACAAAGAAGGAACAAAGAGCGATTTTGTTTCCTTGGGGGCGGCTCGGTGAGATTCCGACGCCCCGCGCTCCTGCCTGGTCCGGCTGCTGCTGTGCTGTCATGCGGCTCCTGCGAGCCGCGGCCCGGCAGATGGGCTTCCTGGCAGCCTCCTACAGGGCGGGCTGGTGGGCCAGCGGGCGGCTGTTAGCGTGCCGCCGCTGCGCCGTCGATAAGAGCGGTTTATTGGCTCGCAAACGTCACATAATCTGTGGCCGGATGATTTATCGGCCCGTCACCTCGGCGCTGTGGGGCCCCTGCGGTGGGCCTGTCCACAGAGAAGCCTGTGAGATAGCATTACCACACACACACACACACACACACACGTGCGCCCCCGCTCTCCCTGGAGAAGCTCCACCTCCACACACAGTGAAGTCATTTATTTATGATGATCCGCTGCTTCTGGAAATCCCTGCTAAGCCTCAAACAAAGAGCCCCCTTCAGCAGGGGCCGCCTGCCCCGCGGAGCCTGGGGCCTCCGGCGATGCCCCCCGTGCCGTTTATGAGACGACATCGCGCTGCCGGTTGGCCCTGGCGAGGCGCACCGGGTCCCAGCTTTGCTGTGGCCGATTCCTGCCTTTTTAAACGACATTGTTATTCCGGTTAATCATGCGTTTCCCGGCACCTTTTAATTCCGTCTCGGTCACAGAGACCTGGATCCGTCTTCCATCACGTGGGCCGGCGCCATCCTGTGAATTCATCCGGTCCGCGAAGATCGAGGAGCCCTGGCAGATCTGGGCCGGCCAGTCGAGGTTAAGGGTGGGGACTCGCCTCTTAGCGTTGCCCTGGCAACGCTGCCCCCGGGCTGGGCTCTGCCGGCGTGTGATTTTAATGCCGCTCTAGGTTTTATTATCAGTCATACGCTTACTGGGCTTTTGTCTCTTCCACCCCCCCCGCCTTAAGCTCGGCCCGTGTGCCGCTCCTCGCCGTCTGCGCAGCCCCTTGTCTTCTGCCATGGCGCCGTCTGCCGCCTGCATAACCCCCCCCAAGCCATGTTTTCCGCAGGTCCGTAATTAATTAAAGCGGTCCAGCGCTCGCCCTTCTGCCCACGCTCGCATTTGGCCGCCGCGTGGCGAGGCCCCTGGGGGCGTGTCATCCGCTTTGCAGTGCTCCGCCGCTCGAGCCAAGCAGAGCCGCCGCCGTCCGTGCTTGGCACCCCCTCCCCACCGCCCGCTAACTGGCCTGGGGGAGCACAGAGCCAGAACGTAGCCGAAGACATTAGGGATCCAGTTTCGCCGGGAGCATCACATTCGTTCACAAACAAGACCCGAAATGCTGAAGGCTGCGTGAATACATTACTGTGTGTGTGTGTGTGTGTGTGTGTGTGTGTGTGGGGGGGGGGTCTTCATAGAACACATTTGTGGTTAGTGTGGTAAAACCTGAAACTTCCTTACTTTTAGGGACATTTTTCAGGTCCCCATTGGGGTAACCTCAACTTTATTAAAATCTGTGAATGCAATCAAAAAAGTAAAAATGCCAAAAGTCCTGTATTTTGATTGGTTATTTTTGGGTAAGGTTAGGGCTGGGTGGGGGTTAAGGGTGTCATGATTGGGATTAGGGTTATGGCCATAGAAATGAATGGAAGGTCCCCATTGGGAAATGCCAACGTGTGTGTGTGTGTGTCTCTGTCCGTCCGTGTCCACGTGTGTGTTTGTGTGTGTGTGTGCGCGTGTGTGTGTCCGTCCGTCCGTCCGTGTGTGTGTGTCCGTCTGTCCGTCCGTGTGTGTCCGTCCGTGTGTGTGTGTCTGCTTGTGTGTGTGTGTCCACGTGTGTGTGTCCATCCATGTGTGTGCACGCCTGCGTCCGCGCGTGTGTGTTTGCTTGGGACCACATTGAGGTGTGAACTTCCCCAGCCCTGGCCGTCGACGTGTTCTTTCAGCCTGATATCCTGGGCGGGAGGTGAAAATTGCAGGTTATTTTTCTGGGAAGTGCTGGATCGCGCCTGTCAGAAATGACTCACCGGGAAGCTGAGCCCCCCCCACCCCCCTTCCCCCGGGTGCGACGGCCCGTCTGTCTGAACGTGTCTGCTAAAGCTGCATAAATGTGACACGTGCCCGATTCTCGGGCTTCCGTGTGGCGCCGCTGAATAATGCGGCACGTGTGCGCCAGCGCGACGTCCCGTTTCTTGGAGGGGGGAAGCGCGGTGCCACGGCGGAGACAGTAATGGCTCTGATGAATGGGGAGGATCGGATTTCGGGTCAGGCGCGCAGCTGTTCACTCGCTCTGGCTCCGCTGGCCTCTCCGCAGTCTCCGTCCAGGGAGTCCGCTGGCGTTTGTCGTCTGCGGTCGCGGTTCTGGCTCACGGCACAGCGTCCGGGTAAGGGGGGCTCGTTTGCGCGGATCGTGTCGTTGGCGGGGCACCGCTTCCCGGCCCCTTGGCCCGGCCCGCTGTTTGGCGTCGGTGCCGGGTTGGCGGATGCCTGCGGGGCGGCGGCCATGGTGACAGAGCGTGGCTGTCCTCTGCACGGCTCCGCGCGGGCCTGTCTGTCCTTGGCCGGCCTGGGGGCAGCAGTGTGAGAGCGTCCCTTGTTCTGGTTGACGGCTCTGGCAGCGCTGCGCCTGCTCTGCTCGGCAGTGATAGATGGCCGGGCCTCCTCTGCCCCCCCCCCCCCCCCCCACTTGGTGTGCGAGGACTCCGGCGGGTGATATATACCACCAATAATTGATATGGTTCCATTCACCCCCCCGCCCCCCTACTTGGTGACTCATGGGCAGCCTGGCAGCTTTTCAAAGCTTTGTAGCAGAGAGCGAAGCAGCTCCCACGTCTGGACTTGAATAGAGGAATTTCCCCTTTCGGCGCTGTGAGCATCTTACCCACCTATAGGGGGCCCCCCTCGGACAGCAACGCACGCGATCTGGGCGTAGAGATCCTGCCTGCTCATGCACTGGCATGTCCTGCGTGATTTCCGTAAATGCCACTGACCCCCATGTCTGCCCGTGCCAACCTGGAGAAGGCCCACCCTGTCCGCCCCTCTGTCATTTTCCAGTTATTATCGTTCACGCATCACTTCCTGCGCCTGTCACATCCATCAGCGTGGCCTGGCGGCCTTATGGCCGATTCCGACGTGCCGCATGCAGCCGTTTATCGGAAGTGGCGCTCTGCGCACTCTGTGATTCACGGCAGCCTCTGCTGTCATTTAACGACACATTTTACAAAGGAAAAGTCCTTTGTTTTTGCAGCGAATGGCTGGACTGCGGCCATTGGAGCCTGGCGCCGTAACAGATGTGCCGGTTTGGGCTTTTATTAACCTCAATGTGGAGCGGCGATGCTCAGGACGTCCCCCCGACTTCGGCCCCCTCACCTTCGTGTGGCGCGGACGCCGGCTTCGCCA